CAGAAGGGTTTAATGCTGAGACACTTCCGTTATTACCGCCCTGTGCTCGCAGCCGCCCCCCCCTCCTTCCTCCTCCTTTCTCCTATCGCTCGGGTGGAACGTCCCCCCGCCAGAACTGTATTTGTTCTTTTTCTTTGCATGGGTTGCTGTTTTTCCAGTTCAGACACATTTAATTCATTCAAACAAAATGCTGAAAGTTTCCAAAGGGTATGAATAATCTGTGTCTGTGTGTGTGTGTGTTGTGTGGTTTGTGTGTGTGTGTGTGTGTGTGAGAGAGAGAGAGAGAACAGTGTTGTGTTATGTGCGACAGGTGTGTATTTGTTTGTGACCCTGACATGCTGATGAGCGTTGACGTGGAGATACACGAGGTAACGCAGCAGCAGACGGTCCAACAGCGTCAAATCTCCACTGACTACTGTTGTTAATCAGAAGATCAACGCTGTCGTTCACTTCCCTTGTGTATCGCTGCTCTAAGTGTTAGTTTTAGCTGTCAGACACAGGTGTTTATACTGTGTACCTATTGGTGTGTGTGTGTGTGTGCGCGCTCCTGTCGCAGTGTTCAACATGCTCACTGCTACATTATTGCTTTGGTTTTAATTTAAATAAAGTTTTTCCTCTCAACGTGTTGAACTGTGTAGCTTCTGAAGATGATTGGAGGTTTGAAAGTAACAGTTTTGTTTATTGTTTAGGGTTTACTGGCAGAAATATATTAATAGTTTTTGTGTTTAATCGCCTGAAAACAATGACGGGTAAACTTCCTGTTTCCTTTTGCAGCCCTCGCACCGGGAATGTCTCATTATCGTCTGTGTGTGATGAAGACGTTTCTTTTTAAGGCATAAACAGACAAATAGTAGTCAGCTGTTTGATTCACAGTAAGTACGGTGGACAGTGAGGGTCACATAAAAGTAGCACAGCGACGTAAACGTGGCCCTACGCTGATTCCAAATAATGTACGGACCTGACCGGTGACCCCAGTTTATATGTCAGGTTTCATTTTCTGCCTGATGATATGAAGGTTGTTTCATTACCTCAGCTGAGAAAAACACGATTCTTCTTTTATTCAGCTGATTATTCACTAATAAAAACCTTTATAGAATATTACATCCCTTTCTGCCAATAGATCCTCGTAAGTGTCACACTGGACCTTTATAAATGGTATCAGGATATCAAACAGGTTAAATAAACAGAGGGAAACAGGAAACGAGCTGGGTGTGGCTTTCAGACGATGATGCAACTGAAGCGCAAGCCGAGCTAACAACCTGCTCCCGTTTCCCCACAGAGTTCCACGTCATCATTCGCCTCCTAATTGATATTTCTCATCCTCCTGGAACAGCTGAGAAAGTCCCCGGGGTTTATTAAACACGAGTGAATGATTTATTGAAACTACGGCTCAACATCACCGTTAATGAGAAACTCACAGCCGAGACAAACTCTGCTTCAGTTTGTTTTTCTGCTTGTTTGTTTTATTTAAAAAATCTAAACTTAATCTAATAAATTACACCACAATATTGTTATATTATAAGCCTCAAAGTGGGGATCACTTGTTGTATTATGTTGCAATAGAAATTTTATTAGTTCATTGATTCCCTGATGCTCCAATCATTTAATCCTTTTTTACCGTGTTTTAAATGTATCTGGGCTGCCTTTGAATTCTGACTCATTAACTTCTGTAACTGCATAAAAATGTTTGTTTGAAAAGGATTTAATCTTATTTGATGAACAAATATGTAGAAATAAAATAAAAAAGGTGCAGTGGTGCAAAAAGAAAAAGCATCTCCAGTTGAAATGAGAAAATCTTACTCTTCTTGTAGTCTTTTTCCAATGAAGACAGAAATGTTTCTCAGCACTTAAATCCGAGCACAGAGTCCTTTTAATGCTCACAGAAGAGAAACGCTTCCTTTCTTTTAAGTATTAAATGCAAAGAGTTGCACCATAAAGTCTCAATAACACACATTTCTGTAAGCAATATACATCCAGTTACAATAATATACAATTGTTAAAACCACAGTTTGATGCATACGTGGGACAAAATCTGAAAGAAGAGTCCCAACATGATGAGCCTTGAGGCCTAAATGAGGTGTGTCACTTTGAACTTGTTAAGCTGTTAATCACATGATCTACAGGGTCTTCATCTGCCTGCAGAGAACAGTGTGACTGAACCTGCTCTCTAAAAACGCCCTTCAGGAGGAGGTGGTCACAGGCAACGAGTGTTTGCAGTCATGTGAATTCTGCACGAAACAAAGGGAATCATTCAGTAACTGCTGGACGGATTCAGTACATTCATGTTCCTGCTGATTTTAGTGATCCTCTGACTTCCCGTCTAGCGCCACCATGAGGTTCACATCTGTGGTTTTAAGTGAATTCTCTCAACAACTATTCGATAAACTGGAGGAAGGCTTACAATATATAGATTCACTGGGTTTCAGTGGGCGGGACCTCCACTAGTGCGAAAGCTTCACAAGATCGCAAGGCCTTCTTGATTTTAAGGGGTGTACGAAAACTTTTAAAATATACACAGTGGGACTTTATCTCAGCATTTTGTTAATTTCTGTAAAGAAAAATAAATGAAAATGTTATTTTTAAAGTTTAGTTTATTATTTAAGATCTAAACTTTGAAGACCTGCCTGAACATAAGCTATATTCACAGTCTTTACTCTCTGCTAAACAGCCTCATCCTGCATTAGAGCTAATAAAACAATGGGCAAGCATTTGTCATAAAAGTAGCCTATTGAGTCTGTATGATTGTTTAAAGAAAAGTAGAAACAGACAGAATTGTATAAAAGGTTCCCTAAAATATCAGGAAAACTCCTCTCTGGTTAATATTCACAGGAAATAATCTGAATTTGAAAATTAATTTTGTGTTTTACCAAACTTCCTGCAGTTATTGTGTTCAATATTCTGGTTCATTGTACAGTTTATCCGTTGTTTTCTACTGTTATTGTTATATTTTATAGATATTTCATATCATATTCAATGCATGTCACATAGTGAGGGGACGACAGTTAACTCAATGATAGAAGAGGGGTCCTTTAAGGAAAAAGGTTGGGAACCATTGACCTAACCTAAAGGTGGTGGCTGTAACAATGTGATGTAACAGCGTGATGGAGGAAAAGGTTGAATACAAAGGATGAGGCCGTGCAGGAGCAGTGTTTTCTGTGGGAGACGTTACTCCCTTTGGCGTGGACTTTTGTCACATGTCTGACCTTTTACATGCACTCCGAGAAAAACCCCAGAAAGCATAATATGGCCTCTTTTACTTTCCATTACAGAAATATAATCCTCACATCTTTAACTTCCTTTTACCTTCCTGTTGTCTTTCCTTTCCTCGTTCCTTCCAAATCTCCCTCAGCTCAATTCCTCCATCACATCTTTTCCTTCCGTGAACACTGAAAACTCAACAACAACACCAACAACAGCTGGAAGACCACCAACAGAACTACTGTAGTCTCAGCTGACCCAGTCAAATCTAATAAATCTAAAGATAATGTGGTGAAAATGCCTACAAACATGACTTCTGATGATCTATTGATATATTACTGTGTTTATCTCCGGGACCATCTGGTCCTACAGGAGGGGGCCAACAACCGAGTCCAAACTCTGGTTCTTCTTTATATTCTGAACATTTTTAGGAGCTAATCTGACTCTGCATCAGATTATCTTTTTTTAAAAAAGAGGACAAACAGTGTCTTCCCATGCTGTTCTACATTATAACATCCCCTGTGAGATTTTAATGGTGCGGTTGAATTGATTCAAGATGTGGTTTCCAGCTTTGGTATGCTGAGAACGTTAATTCCCTGCTTTATATCTTAGAATATCTTGAGAGGAATGATCAGATTTGATGATTTTCTGGTATTTCTTAAAACAAAACCTTCCCTAAACATGATGCAAAGTTAAAAAAAAAACAGAACTGACTATAACTTTTTTTGCTTTGCACATTAAGAAATCTGACTAACGTCTTCTTCTCACGCCATTCGAGTGACCTTCCAAACATTCCCTAAATCACCCAGTCAGAGAGGTCGCAGGTCAGTTCGACCACAGCCAAATCTATTCTGTGGCGAGCGAAAGCATCCTCAGGTCAGGGCCCTTCCCAAACCTCAGTTCACTGAAACAGCCAGCAGGGGGCAGCACCAGCCTGTGTCTCAGTGACGATACAACACAGTGACAATGATGAAGGGCAATTTGGTAATAAGCCTTCAAAACACTTAACTAATGCATGACTCATGATGATTTACTGCTTGATGTATTCACTTTGAATTTATGTGATTATATTGAATATACATTTATTTACATGCTGAGTTACACAGACAAGCAAACCCACTCTCTCTCTCTCTGATGTGCCGCCCACTGGCTTGTAAATACGACATAAATGAAGGCTGTTTGGGTTGAGCAGCAACGTGTAGATGTTTGTATGAGACTACCAGTAATGAACGGCTTCACATATCAACAGAAAATGAACTAGAAACTATAATCAAATAAGCAGAAAGGCAGAGAATTTGCTTCCAGCTCGTTCAATGTGAGGATTTACATATTTTTTCTGTTTTATTATGACTGTAAACTGAATATCTTTGGGTTTTGGACTGTTGATTGAACAAAACAATACACTGAAGACGTCCCCTTGAGCTCCAGGAAACTGAAAAAAATATAGTTTTAAACAATTTTCAAACATTTTATAGATAAAACAATCAATAAACTGAGGAAATAATTGGCAGATTGACATTGAAAACAACAGTTAGTTGAAGTCCTGGTAGCTGGATTCCAACATTAATTAATGAATTGATGACTTGATCAGATCTTTTAGTGGACATACTTTAATGGACACATTGTCCCCAAGGATTAACATTAGCTTACATTGCAGCTCTTTTTATGAATATTTTCACATCTAACGCTGTAAATTGAGAGTTTATTTTGACCAAAACAGTGTTGGTGATTGTTGGAAAGACCAACAAAGACGGTTTTGGTGAGTTTTATTTAATTTCTGTCCCATTGTGTGGGTCTGAGATGCTGGTGCTCTAGTGCAACGTCCAGTGGAAAGTGAATTCTGTGTATTTAACCTTTAACTAATCACATAAACTTACGTAATGACATATAACAAGATTTCATGACACAACCTGCATTCATTTATGCATTAAATCACAATGAGTCATGCATTAGTTATTCTTTATCAAGCAGTAATTACACTGCTAATGACACACTCAGGATCACCTCCTTCAAGCTAAGTCAATGCACATATGTAGCTCAAATGACTACACACACTCATCAGCACATATCCTCAGCAAAGCAGGAAACTCACTGACAAAGGAGCAGATTTAGGAGAGCAGAGTAAAACCTCTTAAATGCTGTTTGGCTGCCTGCCAGAGGTGTTTGTACTATAATCCTTTGGCGTCCCTGAATGTCACAGCTCCTGTTTTTCGGAAACATTTCAGGAGCCATTTTATGTTCCTGCTACGAAGTGCCCAACAACTCATGAAAACAAGGGAATTAAGAACAACTCAGAGGGAAAAAGCAACCTGCCACAGGTAGATTTGTGGACTTGTTCTGTGTGAGGTTCCTCTCACAGGCAGGAGGGGCACTGTTTGGGGCTGTTATTAGGGATTTATTTGGTCCCTTCAGGGTTTAATATTCACAGGATATTTTGGATTTTTGCTCATTATGCCTCTTAATTACACATTTGTGACATTATGTGGAATAATAGTACATTTCTCCTTCATTTTCCAAAAAAACAACAACCATGACCTGACCTGAAAATAAGTCCCAACACTGGAAAAGCAGAAATAATCTTAAAACTGCACAAAAAAATCTTAGCAGGTTAAATAACGAGGACAGAACTTCTTCATCTTAAAACTAAACTCTGAAAATTTGACAAAAATAAATTCACTTTCCCAGAAAAAGTCACTTCTCTGGTTAGTGAGCGAACGATCCATCCCGAGATCTTCCTCTGCACTCGTCCCTTTTGGTGTTTGCCACGAAGGTGCCACAGGTTTCTTCACACAAAATCAGAAAGTACGACGCCTCATAAACTTTATCTAAGTCAGACACAAGCTTTGTTTGAATGTAGCCTCTCACCCTGACTGTCAGGATCATTGAGACTCTTCATGTTGGGGCTCATCAGAAACAAAAAGAAAAGAAGAGAGCGTCGGCCTGTTTTAGGTCCACATTTGTTTCCTATAAGAAGGTAATCTCAGTCTCTTGGTTCTGATAAGCCTCCTCCTCCATCTCAGTGTACAGCTGGTCCATTCTCTGGAAGGCCAGGTAGCCCTTTTTACCTGCAGAGAGAAAGTGTTATAAATACGGATGTCCCAAAGTTTTTTAAGCTCCCAATCCGATCCGAGTCATTTAATATCCGATATAATGTGATGTGGTGCACAGTGCACACTTCAAGTACATTAAAGTAAATTAAAATCAATCAATCAAATGTACATGGTTGACAATAGCTCTCTCCTACAGTAACACAGAGCGGAGAGGCAGACAGCGGAGAGAGCTGAAGATGGCTTCACTGTTTTTGAGTAAAAAACATCTGCCTGACAGCTGGAGTAAAACAAAAGATCTGTTCGGGTCAATAAAGCTCAACATAGTCGATACCGATCAGTTAAAAAATGCCTTGATCTGCCCCGATACCAATCTTTGAGATCGGATCGGAACATTTTCTAAAATAAAATATAATTAAATACAAATGAATGAAGAATAATTCATGATTGTACCAAAGGAGAGGACAGTCTCTCTGGCAGCGCTGCGAAGATCTTCATCTGCTGATCTCCACAAATCTGCTATGTGGTCCACACTCTCTGTCGCCTGGCAAACACACACACACACACACACACACACACACACAGTAGACACTTTGTAATGTACCAAACAGTGCTGGAAACTGTATTTCTGTGAGTTGCTGTGTTTGCTGAGAGTTTGTGTAATGTGTGTTGCTCACCCTGAGGCATTTAAGAGCCAGACAGGAACCTTGTTGGATCTGAACATCAGTGCTTTTCAAACTCTCCGTGTAGTAAACTACCGCCTGGAGGAGAAGGTAATGGTGTTGTTATTTGTGCCGCTGTAGTAGCTGGGACATTGCATTCATTTGACTGTGACATATGTAAAGATGGACGACATGACAGCTCTCCAAAAGTGAAGCCGAAACATCTGGATCGCCCCCTGGTGGCTGACTGCAGTATAGGTCTTGTTAGATGAGCCAAACAAAAAAATCTAATTACAGATAAAAAAGTAAAATTTTCCCAAAGATTTTTTCTGCCATGCTAGGTAGTTCTGATCACACTGGTTCTGATAAGTTTGGTTTTAATTAATATCTGAAGCTGTAAAAAGGGGTTTTTTTTACATTATGAGTGACAGCTGAGCCCGGCGTATGGTCGGGATCTCCATACTGTGGCGCCAACCCCGATCACTACTGGCTCCGAATGCGGTATATGGCAGCGGCCCTAACCCGGGATATTCTGGCTTAATCTTTGGACAGTGGGAGGAAGTGGACTCGTCCATCTTTAAATATGTTGGATTCCCCTTGAAATCAATTTGACTGGGACAGTTTGATGTACCTTGCTCCTGAAGGCCTTGCAGCCTGCGGCTCTGCATAGACAGTTGGCAGCAGCTTTGCAGACTTTGTGGTTGGAGTCGATCTGCAGGGCGGCCAGAGTCTGCAGGGTGCATCCCAGTGGGAGGAGCTCCGTGATGCCCCGCCCCCTCATCTTATTTAAAGCACGCCTCCTCTTGGGGCTTCTTAGGGCTGACAGGATGTACTCTGAAACCCATCAGTGACCATAGCGCATGAATAATACATCGAGTTTGTTCGGTTTAATAGCTGTGGGTTTTCATCAGCAGATGAAGTTGGAGCAGTTGTTATAGGATGTCTCTTCAATGTTGGCTTTTAAATACTGAAGTTCACAGTTCATTCTTGACCTTGGAAGTGTTTTAATTTACATATTCACTTTAGAAATATTTAGTTTATTTACACTCATATATTAGGACAGCTTTATTTAACACAAGAAAGCCTGAAAAAATCCCTGCTGAGGCAAATGCAAAAAACTGAATAATACTGAAGGTTAAACTGTTAAATATTGTCCTCTTCATTCTCATTTCTATCCACATCTCTGTGCAGCTAATTAACAGCCTTGAGATGTCTTTAATGTTCTAGGAATTGAAGCATAATGTTCATTTTCCCAGCTCAGAAAAGCAAATTCAACATTATTTTTCTTACTTTGGCGGTAAACTCCACCCACCTGGTGTTTAAAGTTGAAAGCAATGCCACGATTAATTTCAGACTTTATCCCAGACTGAATGAAGCACAGAAACAAGTTGTTGTTTTAGACGTGTCGTGCTATGCAAACCAAATGTTTATTGCAGCAGTCATCGACATACTATAGCCACATGAAGAAGGAGAGGAGGGGAGGAGAAGAGAAGAAGGAAGGATGCATTTTTGTGTCTTTCTATCCATCACAGCTAAGTGTCTAACCCTAAAACCAAGTCTCCAACCTCCCACCCTAACTCAAACTTGTGGGGTCTAGCATTGTGGTTCCCAGTTTTTGGATCCCACTAATATAGTAAAACAAGCCCAAACACACACACACACAC